AAAATGTTCTCTGTATCTATGAGAATGTTTCTGTTCTGCTTGTTCATTTTGTTTGTAGACTCCATTGTCGACAGATATGTATTCATTGCCATTTTGTTTGTTCATATATTTTATCTTTTTCTTCAAAAAGACCCTTCAACATTTCATATAATAACGGTTTGGTGGTGATGAACTCCTTTAACTTTTTCTTGTCTGGGAAACTCTTTATATGGCCATCAATTCTAAATGACAGCTTTGCAGGATATAGTAATCTTGGTTGTAGGTTCTTGCTTTTCATCACTCTGAATATTTCTTGCCACTCCCTTCTGGCCTGCAAAGTTTCTTTTGAGAAATCAGCTGACAGTCTTATGGGAACTCCCTTGTAGATAACTAACTGCTTTTCTCTTGTTGCTTTTAAGATTCTCTCTTTTTTCTTGAACCTTTTGCATTTTGATGATGATGTGTTTTGGTATGGGCCTCTTGGGGTTCATCTTGTTTGGGACTCTCTGTGCTTCCTGGACTTGTATGTCTGTTTCTTTCACCAAGTTAGGGAAGTTTTCTGCCATTATTGTTTCAAATAGGTTTTCGATTTCTTGTTCTCTCTCTTCTCCTTCTGGCACCCCCAAGATGAGAATGTTGGCATGCTTGAAATTGTCCCAGAGGCTCCTTACACTATCCTCATGTTTTTGGATTCTTTTTTTTTTCTTTTTTTTTGCTGTTCTGATTGGGTGTTTTTTGCTTCCTTATATTCCAAATCGATGGTTTGCTTCTTGGCTCTACTATTGAATTTGTGTATTCTTTATTTCAGTTAGTGCCTCCTTTATTTCTGACTGTGCATTCTTCATTTCTGACTGGTCCTTTTTTATGCTCTTGAGGCCCTCACTAAGTTCGTTGAGGTTCTCACTAAGTTTATTGAGGATCCTTATAAGCAGTATTTTGAACTCAGGATCTGTTAGGTTGCTTATCTCCATTTCACTTAGTTCTTTTCCTGTGGTTTTGTTCTGTTCTTTCATTTGGGACCTGTTTCTTTGTCTCCTCATTTTGGGTGCCTCCCTGTTTGTTTCTATGTATTACTTAACGAGAGGTGTGGGGCTAGCTGAGACCAGATGCTGCTTGTTTGAAAGAATTTAGAAAAACCTGAAGCAGGATCCAAGACAGGCCAATCCTATGGTTAAGCAACTGGCAACAGCGTGGGTGGGCCTGAAAGTTGGGTGGGGCGGGGCCTCAGGGAATCACCAGGGTGGGGCAACCAGTATAAACCCGGTTGCTGAAGTCCCAGATATGGTGGCTGTCTGCCGCCCCAGGGAAGGGCTCACCAAAGGAACAAAGGCCTCTGTTTGTCCCAGAGAAAGCCCCCTCTCCAGCCCTCACTCCAATGCCAAACAGCGCAGTTCTTCCTTGTATGTCTCTGGCACCCCTCGAGCTGCCTCCCCTCTAAGCCTAGAGGGAGAGAGTCCGATAAGTTTGTGCACAGGCCCTTTAAGAGAAGCTGCCTGGGGCTCCAGCCACCTCAGCCTCCCTGAGCTTCAGTTCCCACTGGTTTTTCCAGCCATAAGTGATGGGGACTTCTTTTCCTGACACTGGAACCCTGAGCGGGGCATCTGGTGTGGGATGGGGACCCCTCAGTCCTCAGAGAGGACCTTCCCAGCTGAGGTATCCTCCTGATTTTTATCAGCCACACGTGAGTGTGGGACCAGCCTGTCCGCCTCCACCCCTCCTACCAGTCTCGATGTGGCTGCTTCTTTAATTCTGTAGTTGTAGGACTTCTAGTCAGCTTGATTTCAGGTGGTTTTGAATGATGGTTGTTCTGTAGTTTAGTTGTAACGTTGATGTGGTTGTGGGAGGACGTGATACTGCATTTACCTACGCTGCCATCTTGACTGGAAGTCAGGTTCTGATGAAACTTACACTGAGATGTTCTGTCTTCATTTAAAGTCATCGTGCTCCCCCCGCCCCCCACATCATTCAAGTCCAGGGTTCAGTTTACAGTCATTATGAAGTGCTATGGATGGTCTGTCTACCCCAAAGTCATATGTTGAAACCTAATCCAATGTGATGTTATGGGAGGAGGAGGGGCTTTGCTTTGGGAGGTAATTAGGTCATGAGGGTGGAGTCCTCACAAATGGGATTAGTGTCCTTACAAAAGAGACATGGAGTATTCTAAGCCCTCATTCTGCACGTGAGGGTACAACGAGAAGTCAGCAGTCTGCAATCTGGAAAAGGTTGCTCATCTGAATCAACCATGCTGGCTCCCTGATCTTGGATTCCAGCCTCCAGAACTGTGAAAAATAAATTTCTGTTGCTTATAAGCCACCCAGTCTTTAGTTTGGTATAGCAGCCAACAATAAAGACAAGGTCCATTTTTATAACCTTATTACTATACTATCTCTAGCTTTGAAATGTAAACATTTCACAAGTTTTCATTTATATACAAAGCACAAAATAATTTATTTTGTATTTTTGACTTTGATCTAATATGCAATTTAAATTCTGCTTATTACAAGGCCTAGCTAAATCGATGAATGAATTTATTAATCACTTTCAGGTTCATAATTTTTTTACTTCTTCCAGGCATGATAGCCTTATGCTAGTATCAGTGGAAAAACTACATTCCTGGTATCTTTCATTTTGAACTAGAATTTGAAATCTAAAAGACATAAGTGGGTTACTTTTCATATTTCTTATTCCTAAGGCTGCTGAAATGTACTATTTCACCATAAAATATATAAATATACCTATTATAAATTTTTAAATCACTCTTATAAACTATTTTACAGTAGAACATCAACATTTTCTGTGTAGGTGAAAGCTTTTATATTACATTTTTATTTTGCAAGAAAATAAATTATACAACTTAAAAAATAAAATCCAAAAATTAAGCAGTTCATCAAAATATTTCAGCCTACTGCATACAGAAACTGCTTCTATTTAAAATTGTACAGCGTTATCATCTCAGTATGTAGTGGCACACATTCAAAATTGTATATACCATATGAAGATAGAGTACAACTTAGGAACTCAACTTTGTTCAACACTCCAGATGACATATATAGTGTAGATGACAGGAAAGCTCTCATGTGATGTTTATTTCACAATTATGACCTTGGAAGAGTTTGTAAGATAGCATCCCCATCATTTACATGAAAACAGAAAATCCAGCCTGAGTTTATAATAGCGAATCTTTCTGAAAAACTAGCAAATCTTTTACCCAAATTGAATTTTTAAAATGTGCCCTTTGAGCAGGGCTAATGAAATCCTACTGCAAATAATGCATAGTATTTTTAAACTACCCCAGTCATATTTTGTATTACATTGAATAGGAAGTAAGAAAGCTGTCACTTCATTTTTGGAAATTTTAACATTTATGCACAAAGTAAGAGACAAAAATAAAGAGGCTGACAGAATGCAGAGACCCCCTCCAATAAATGTAAAAGTTGGAAGACTTCAGAATTTATTTCAAGATCCTCATTAAATCACTGGAACAGTAATGGTCTAATATTTATCTTCTTGTAAGCATTAAAACTGTTTTATATTTTACTTTGTAAATTTTTTTCCTGTGTATTTACTCTGGCAATGAGATGCAACAATGGTTAACATTTTCGAGATGGCTCCATCTTTAAATTAGAAGATGAAGGCCTGAAGTTTAAATTAACTCAAGAAGAGTCCTACTGCCATAATACTCATGAAACAACAACAACAAAAGTATATGTATTTTCCCTTAACTATGTCAGGTTTCATTCCTGCTCAGATAGCACTAATTTTAAGTATACATTATAGGAAAGGGACCTGATAGAGAATACTAAATGTGATTTTGTCTTTAGTAAATTGCTGGTATTCCCCCTCCCCCTGCCCGATTCTTTTTATTTAAATTAGCAAATCTACTGTCAAAACATATTTAAAGGAAATTTGATAATGGTATAGGCACCTTGTCAATTGAATGGTTTTCATAAACACAAAAAAGTAGTTAACCTTTTGTGTATATAACAACAACAAAAAAAATGATGAAAGCTGTGAGTCTACAGTATTTACTGCTCTTCTATTCCCCAAAATACAATTAGGACATAATTAGCTATTAAAAAATTTATAAAATTTAATAGAAAAGTTTGCTATGAGTTACCCACTTTTGCATTAAATTTGCCTTTATTAAATTAAAACATCATGGCTCTCACTGTTAAATGACCAAAACGATTAGAAATTCAAAAAAGTTCTGAGAACAATTATGATTTCAAACAACAAATTTAAAAAATGGTCTGTAATATTTCCTTTCATTGTTTCTTCCTTTGGCATTCTTGTATTGGATAAACAAATATGTCAATAGCAAACTATTTGTTAAACACAAGGACCACAATTATTACAATTTTAAAAGAATTTATCCATTGTTAGCAGTCATTTAATTAGAGAAAATGATGAGCACTAAATTAATTCGTCACAACATACTTGGTCTAATAACTGACATATGCTACCTTAGGGCTCAAGTTTAAGATTTTAAATTAGAAACAAAATTCCAATTTCCTATCAGTTTCAGGACAGTCATTTGACTATAACCAGCAAAACCTTAAGTGTTGTATATCTGCTTTCCTTCCTTTCACCAGGCAGTTCACACCAAGCCTTTCGGGGCTGGGGGCAGATTCCATGAAATGCTCTCGAAAGCACTCTGCAGTTAACACTGTATGCCTTTCAAAGCTCCGGCACGCCATGTCCTACGAGCTTCAAAATTGTACATTAAAAATTTTACTCAGTATCAAACAAGATATAAAATAATTTGCAAGAAAATTTGAAATGTGTACCATAATGAATAAAAATCCATGCTGAGCTATACTTTCCCAATGGGGAATAAGTTTTTCTCTTTTAAGTTGTTCATGTCCTTAGTCTGAAAATCTTTACTGCTCTGAATATTCAGTTACCAGCAACTAATAAGTTGCTACTTTGGACTGACTAAAAGGAACAAAGTAACAGTTGCCTTTTGAACATTTTAAAAATGTTTATTTTTAAAATATATAAATATATATGTACATATATATTAGGCAAGTTTACTGCTCATATTAAGACTGCAACAATTTTGCTTATGCCTGTCAGGTCTTTCCTATGTTGTGGTTTTTCTCTTCTCCCTAGGTAAATGATACTGACTACTTTGTAAAGCAGAAAAAGGTCATCCTTTCTGGTAACCTACAAATCCCTAATCAAGAGACTTTAAAATACCAAAATATTTCAGTGCTACAGATTAAGGGATCAGTTTCATAACTGTATATTATATGAGAGCATAATGTATTAGTAAACACACTGAATTTTGCTATTTTGATTCTTCAATCAAAATGACCTATCTCCATACATTTTTTTAAACAATTGAAGAAACAATATAAGTTTCACTTTTGCAAAAGAAGCTCTCCAGCCATATAAGATAAAAAATACTCATCATTTAAGAACAAGTAACTAAAACAGCAGTCTCCTGACTAAAGAAAACCAACATTTGTAAGTTGGAAAAATTTAATACTATTTTGAGGTCACCATTAAAATCCAGTTATACTGAAGCAATGTTTGAACAAATAATTTGATACTTATTAAATACTTATCTTCTCACCTACATCTGCCCTCTCCCAATGTTGTGTAGACCAGCTCACTCTTTTGATCAAAAGAAACCAAGAGTGCTATTTCTAGTTTTAATTGCATTTTAAAAACAACACATAACAGCATTTTTCAGTGCACAAATATCTGAAGATCCTTCCTTGTGCAAGTACATTTTTGTAAGAGAGGGAAAAAAAAGCAGTAAGAACCCCACCCTCACCCTTCCCAACTGTGTTTCTTCTGGTGGATATAAGTCCAATTTACTTTTAAAAGTTCATAAAGGGCTCTTCATGAATGCAAGTGTCTCCACAAAACAGCATGCTGTTAAAGAGTGTGTAACATGAAGGGAATGCCATCATGCTAACTAATGTGATTGGCAAAATATAGTTGTTTTGTTAGGTAAGGCAGATTTTTAATATTTGTGTAATCAAAGTCCAAATAAACCTTCCCCCAGCAAAAGCTGTTACAACTTTCTGCCCAAGCACTCCAAAATTTGGGTTCTTAATATTGTCCATGATGTTCAAAATTATGCCATATATATGAAAGTGTTGATATCAGATTCATCTCTTCTGATGTATTTGTGCTCTATTAGCCATTCTATTTGCTCTTTTATCATTTTCTTTTGTGGCAAGAACATGTTTTTCAAAATTTCTACTAATTCAGTCTGCAGCTGAGCATTACTAATTTTCTTTCTCATCTTCATTATTTGTATGATAGCTTCCTAAAACAAAAAATAAAAATAAAAGAGAATTAATATATTAAATTATTTTAAGTAAAACAAAACAAAAAGACCTTTTATGTATTGCATCCTCTATACAACATCTATCCAAATGATTAGCAATCATTAGGACAATGATTTCCAACAAGTGTGCAGCAGTGTGACACAAGAATTTTTAAAACATGCAATACCTGATTATTTAGTCAGGAGTACTGACTTCTTTTCTCTTAGATTGTCAAATAAAAAAATGACAACATCCAACACAACAATAGCCGTCAGGTGTGAATGCCTGTCTAGAACCATAAATATATATCACGTAATAGAGTTACATCTTATTGGTCACATAATGAGGTTGTGTCTCAAATCCTTATATACAAGTATAGGAACTTGATTTTAAAAAAATCATTTGGAGGAAAAAGAGTAGGTAACTATTACTATTTTTTTTATAATCATCAAAATTATACCTTTTTTTTGGTCAGATTGGCATATAATAAATTTTTTGGTGTGCTGCAGAATTTTAGTAATTAGTTTATGTGTGTCATGAGATAATGATAGAAACCAGGGAGAAGAATAACAATTGTAAATGTCCCAATTTCTTCCTTCTAATTTGGTAGAGGTAAAGATGGTGGTTGTGTCAAAGAACATAAGAGAAAAAGAGAAAGTACATAGGCTTGGGCTCTGGCTCTGGTCTCCTTTTTATTTTTTTAAGATGTCTGTATTGATTTTAAGAGAGAAGAAGGGAGATAGTGAGAGAGACAGAAACATCGATGTGGCCTCCTGCACGTCCCCTACTGGGGATCCAGCACACAACCTGAGCACTTGCTCTGACCAGAAATCCAAAGGGCAACATTTCGGTGCATAGGATGATGCCCAACCCAAATGAGCCACACTGGCCAGGAGCTGGTCCCCATTTAATATGCTGGAGGTCACTAGAAGAGTGGTATGATATAATGAAAATAATTTGCACTCCCGAATCTGTCTCCATTCCCACATAAGACAGATAAGAGTTTAGAGCTAATGGACTTGCCACAGGGCTTTTAGTGATACAAGAGGGTGATCCTACAGCAGCAGATGACAATGACAATGTGCCATGTAGGCCAAGAGGCCACATAGAAGATGTGGCCTAGTCTCAGAGAGCTCAAGAGCTCAGTAAAAGCAATGAAGAGGCTATGTGGTCCTTACCAACTAGAAAAAGAATAAATCAAAGTTCCTCTATTACAGACATCAGCAGTAGACAGCAACAGAAAGTCAGATTCCCATTCACTCAGTAGCTGCCACGAGCAAGAACCCAGGACACCATCACAACTTATAAATATGAAAATCCCTTCATTGTCACTACAAGGTCAAATAAATTCCTCTCACCCTCAATACATCCAGATGCCATCTGTGAAAACAGCAAATAATGAGGATGGATGGAATGGGATCAGGGAGAAATAAGACAGGCTCAGCATTATCTAAAGGAACAGCTTAGATTACTAGATTAGGCACAACTATGGATCAGTTTAAGACAAAACAAAAGATTTCATTTTCTCTGCATATCTAATAGTATGACTATCGCTGCCATCCCATTATACATCTCAAATCTAATACATCTGAAATTTATCTATCCTGGTGTAGCCATAAACTAGGGTGTATCTTGATTTTTTCCTCCAAAAAGTAAAATTTCCCCAAACCTCTTATTGAATAATCCATTCTGTTTTCATTGGCCACAAAGTTATTTCCTGTATTGTAAAGTTCGTCTGTAGTGATACAGAAGGTTTAATTCTGAATTATTTTCTTCAATTAATCTGCTTCTCATATTGTTATATTTTTATAGGTATTTTAATAAGTTTTAATATTTGGCAATGCAAGTTTGACCACCATCGCCTTATTATTTTTCAATCACATTTATTCTTTCTGATAAAACAGAGAATCATTATGTAAAATTCCAAAAATATTCTTAGTTGAATTTTTATATAAAATTTGGTAAACTTGATACTAATATGGGAAAAATTGACTAGTTAAGTTATTCAACCTTATCATTAAAGACTATGGTGTTTCATGATGAGCAATGGAAACAAGACACAAAGAGTACATGCACTGTCTGATTCCATCTATATGAAGACCTAGTACAGGCAAAGCTAAGCAATGGTGATAGGAATCAAGCAGGCTGAAAGGGGATACACTGGCTGGATGAGATATATGGGGAAATTACTGAAATAATAGAAATAGTCTGTATTTTAACTGAGGTGATGGTCACATGGGTATATACATTTATTAAAACTCACCGAAACCTACTTTGAAAGGTATATTCTGTCATACATAAATTACACTTTACTAAAAATTTTAATTTTTAAATTTTTTCTTTTTTTTAATCCTCACCTGAGGATATTCCTCCATTTTAGTTCAGATAGAGTGGGAGGGTGGGAGGAAGGGAGGAAGAGAGGGAGAGGGAGAGGGAGAGGGAGAGGGAGAGGGAGAGAGAGAGAGAGAGAGAGAGAGAGAGAGAGAGAGAGAGAGAGAGAGAAACATCGACATGAAAGGGACACATTGAGTGGCTGCCTCCCACAAAACTCCAACCAGGGCCGGGGACCAATCACAACTGAGGTATGTGCTCTTGAACAGATTCGAACCCGCGACTCATTGGTCCGTGGGCCAAAATGGCCAGGGCCCACTAAAAAATTTTAGTAAGAAGAAGAGCATGAACTATTTATTCAAATCTTTTGAATCTCAGTAAAGGTCACTCTTTTCTGGTCCATGGGCCGAATCTCTAACCTCTGAGCCAAATCAGCCAAAGCTTGGACTACTCTTTTCATGTAATATCATACACACTCCTTTTTATTTATTTTTTTAATTTTATTTTTGTTACAGATGTTTCTCCTTTTTTACCCCATTGACACCCTCCTTCCCATCCCCCGGCCCTGTCCCCAGCTTTGTTGTCCATATCCATTGGTTATGCATAAATGCATATAAGTTCTGTGGTTTATCTCTTCCTACCTCCCACCACCCCTTCTTCTGAGGGTTGTCAGTCTGTACCCTACTTCTGTATTTCTGGGTCTACCCTATATAATGTTATATTCATTATATTCCATATATAAGTGAGATCATGTGGTATTTGTCTTTTTCTGCTTGGCTTGTTTCACTTAGGATAACATTTTCCAGGTCCCTCCATGTCGTCTCAAAGGTTAAGAGATCCTTCTTATAGCTGCATAGTACTCCATTGTGTATATATACCACAGCTTTTTTTATCCATTCGTCTACTGATGGACACTTGGGCTGTTTCCAGATCTTAGCTATTGTAAACAGTGCTGCTATGAACGTGGGGGTACATATATTCTTTCTGATTGGTATTTCAGGCTTCTTAGGGTATATTCCTAGAAGCGGGATCACTGGGTCAAATAGAAGTTCAATTTTTAATTTTTTGAGATAACACCATATTGTTTTCCATAGTGGCTGCACCAGTCTGCATTCCCACCAGTAGTGTACTAGAGTCCCCTTTACTCCACACCCTCCCCAACACTTGTTTGATGATTTGTTGATGGCGGCCATTCTGAGAGGTGTGAGGTGATACCTCATTGTTATTTTAATTTGCATCTCTCTGATGATTAGTGATGTTGAGCATTTCTTCATATGTCTCTTGGCCATTTGAATGTCCTGTTTGGAGAGGTGTCTGTTCAGCTCCTCTGCCCATTTTTTAATTGGGTTCTTTATCTTCCTTTTGTTCAGTTGTATGAGCACTCTATTTGTTTTGGAAATTAACCCCTTATCTGATGTATCGGCAATGATGCTTTCCCATACAGTGGGTTGCCTTTCCATTTTGATGATTGTTTCTTTTGCTGTGCAGCTTTTTAGTTTGATGTAGTCCCATGTGTTCATTTTTTCCTTTGTTTCTGTTGCCTTAGGTGATGTATCAGTGAAAATTCTGCTGTGTATGATGTCCGAAATTTTGTTGCCTTCATTTTCTTCTAGAATTTTTATGGATTCATGGGTCACATTTCAGTCTTTTATTCATTTTGAGTTTATTTTTTTGTATGGTTTAAGTTGATGGTCTAGTTTCACTTTTTTGCATGTAACTGTCCAATTTTCCCAACACCATTTATTAGAGAGGCTGTCTTTACTCCACTGTATGCTCTTGCCCCCTTTGTCAAATATTAATTGAGCATATTGCCTTGGGTCCATTTCTGGGTTCTCTAGTCTGTTCCACTGGTCTATATGCCTGTTCTGGTGCCAGTACCAGGCTGTTTTGATTACAGTAGCTTTGTAGTATAACCTGATATCTGGTATTGTGATCCCACCTACTTTGTCTTTCTTTTTCAAAATTGCTGTTGGTATTGGGGGTCTTTTTTGGTTCCATATGAACTTCTGAAGTATTTGTTCTAGTTCTGTGAAATATGTCGTTAGTATTTTGATGGGGATTGCACTGAATCTATAGATTTGCTTTGGGTAGTATGGACATTTTAATGATGTTAATTCTTTCAATCCATGAACAAGGTATGTTCTTTCACTTTTTTAATATCTTCCTCTATTTCTTTTTTCAATGTCCTGTAGTTTTCTGCAAATAGGTCCTTTACTTCTTTCGTTAAGTTTATTCCTAGGCATCTTAATTTTTTTTGCCGCAATGATAAATGGGATTGTTTTCTCAGTTTCTCTTTCTGTGAGTTCATCATTGGTGTATAAAAATGCCGTCGATTTCTTGACGTTAATTTTGTATCCTGCTACTTTGCCAAATTCATTTATTAAGTCTAGTAGATTTCTGATGGAGTCTTTGGGATTTTCTATGTATAATATCATGTCATCTGCAAATAATGACAGTTTCACTTGCTCCTTTCCAATTTGGATCCCTTTTATTTTTTCTTCATGTCGGATTGCTGTGGCTGACTTCCAGTACAATGTTAAATAAGAGTGGTGAAAGTGGACATCCCTGTCTTGTTCCTCTTCTTAAGGGAAATGGTTTTAGTTTTTGCCCATTGAGTATGATGTTAGCTGTAGGTCTTTCATATAAGGTATTTGTGAAAGAAATATGTAGGTATTTCCTTTATTATGTCGAGATATGATCCCTCTATTCCCACACTGCTGAGCATTTTTATCAGAAATGGATGCTGGATTTTGTTGAATGCTTTTTCAGCATCTATTGATATGATCATGTGGTTTTTATTCTTTCTTTTGTTTATGTGGTATATCACATTTATTGATTTGCGAATATTGTACCAGCCTTGCATCCCTGGGATGAATCCCACTTGGTCATGGTGAATAATTTTTTTGATGTATTGCTGGATCCAATTTGCTAGTATTTTGTTCAGAATTTTGGCATCTATGTTCATCAGGGATATTGGCCTATAGTTTTCTTTCTCTGTAGTGTCTTTTTCTTGTTTTGGAATTAGAATTATGCTGGCCTCATAGAACTAGTTTGGAAGTCTTCCTTCTTCTTGAATTTTTTGAAATAATTTGAGGAGAATGGGTGTTAGTTCTTTTTTGAATGTTCAGTAAAACTCCCCTGTGAAGCCATCTGGGCCTGGGCTTTTGTTTGCTGGCAGAGTCTTGATTACATCTTCAATTTCTTCTGTTGTTATTGGTCTGTTCAAGTTTTCTATCTCTTCCCGGTCCAGTTTCGGGAGACTGTGTGTTTCTAGAAGTGTTTCCATTTCGCTTAGATTGTCGTATTTGTTGCCATATAATTGTTCATAGTAGCTATTAATGATCTTTTGTATTTCTGTGGTGTCAGTTGTTACTTCATCTCTTTCATTTCTGATTTTGTGCATTTGGGTTCTCTCTCTTTGTTTCTTGGGAGTCTAGCAAAGGGTCCATCAATCTTGTTTATCTTTTTGAAAAACCAGCTTTTTGTTTCATTGATCCTTTGAATTGTTTTTTTGGTCACACTCCTTTTTAAAGAAATGCTTATAAGTTTTATGGTTTGTTCTTTTATTTTCCTCTTAAGTTTTAAAATTTGTTACTGATAAACAGAAATGCAATTTTTACTTATCTTTTTTCCTTTAGTATATTGTATAATCTCTGAGTAATAAAAAAATCTAACTCTTTCCTCTTGTTTCATATTTCATTTCATTGGCCAGTAGTTTCAAATAATAATAAATAAAAATTGTAAAAGTGGGACACTTGGTTTTAATAGAACTATTTCAGAAGTTACAACAGTCATATGTTAGCTTGAATTGGTATTCTTTATTATGTTCAGAAGGTATAACCCTAGATTTAAAATGTTTTAAAAACAAGCTCCCTAATTTCATATTAAAATGGAATTAGAAGTCAAATAAAAAGAGAATATATCAATCCCAGAATGGTAATGTGTGGCTGAGATACATTTAATCAGGTGTGGTCAAATGAAGATATAACCTAAAACTAAGGTTTTGCCCAACCAACAGAATGTACCAAACTGCAACCACCAAGCCACACAGACAACCTAGTCTTTTAATACAATTATAAAAAATTTGAATATCTACATGCTTTAAATGAAAAAAAAAAAAAAAAAAGTTTGAAGATTTAAACAACAAAAACCAACGTTTTTCAAAATTTAGACATTCTGTCTTAATATTACAAACCTGGGTTCGCAGTATTCGTAGTTGAACTATTCCTTCATTCTCCTCTTCTCTCATTCTTTCTGTAGTTAGCTGCAAGCGTCCAATCAAGTTGATTTTACCCCTTTTCTGAACTTTTGCATTTTTTCTACAAAAAACATTGAATCAAATATTTTATAGTGAGTGGCCTTGTAAACACCATATTATAGCAACAAGGTCTGAGAAAAAAGTTAAAAATATTCTAAATATTAATAACCAGAATTGTTTAAAGAAAAAGTAACAAATAAAAACATACGTAATTTTATTTAAAATAAACCCTATGAACACAATAAAGGCTCTGTTAATAAAATATAGGTGACTATACTCCCTGTAATAACGAAGTTAATATAATTTAGATTGCCATGAAAGCGATTAGAAATTTGAAGATATATGGGTTGTAATTCAGCATTATCTTCTAGCTGGATCTTTAAAAAAAATCTTTACACTCTCGCCAGTTTGACTCAGCAATTAGAGCATCAGCCTGAAGATAGAAGGGTCTTGAGTTCGATCCCCAGCCCCAGTCAGGGCCTTGCGGGAGGCAACTAATTGATTGTCTCTCTCACATTGATGTTTTGCTCCCCTCACCCCCTTCCACTCTATCGAAAAATCAATGGACAAGCATCCTCAGAGATTAACAACAACAAAAACATTTATTGATTGAATGATTTTAGAGAGAGCGGAGGGGAGGGAGGAGGTAGAAGGAGAGGGGAAGAGGGAGAGATAATTTGTTGTTCCACTTATTCATTCATTCATCGGTTGATTCTTGTATGTGCCCTGACTGGGGATTTAACCCAAAATGTTGATGTATTGTGACAATGCTCTAACCAACTAAGTTACCAGGATCTTAAGGGAAAAAAATGCTTTGTATGGATAAAGGTGGTTTAAAATGCAAAAGGAGGGTTTCCTTTAAAGATGAAAAGCAATACAGCATAATGTCAGACATCAAAATGTACCCATGTCAAGTATGTAAAGAAGTATAAACATCTTGCTCTGGCCTGTTTGGCTCAGAGGTTAGAGCGTTGTCCTATGAACCAGAGAGTCCCAGGTTTGGTTCCCGCTAAGGGCACATACCTTGGTTGCAGTTTGTCCCCAGCCCTGGTTGAGGTCGTGGCAACCACTTGATGTGTCTCTCTCACATCGATGTTTCTCTCTCTCTCTTCCACCCTCTCTCCCTCCCACTCTATCTTAAGATAAATGCAAAAATGTCCTCGGGTGAGGACAAAAAAAAACAAAACATGTATAAACATCTCTAGTTCATTTATGTTTAATGAACAGCTAAATGGCATAAAACATGCGATATTGTACCCAACTATTTAGTCAGGGGCACTGACCTCTTTTGCCTTAGACCATCAAAATAAAAAATGATGCCAGCCAACACAACAATAGCTATCTGGTGTGAATGAATCAAAATGATACCTTTTTTTTTGTCAGATTAGCAAAAAATAGTTTTTTGGTGTGCAACAGAATTTTAGTAATTTGTGAGTGTCATGAGATTAAAAAAGGTTGAAAATTGCTGCTCTAGAATGATGAAGAATGTACAGATGTGTTTTAAATATCATGTAAGAAAAAAATATTTTGTTAAAAATAAAGTAGTAACAAACAAGGTATTTTTGTTTCAGATCAACCAACATAAACCTTACATTAAACTGAATTCCTGGTTCACCGAGAAGAGGGTACCTTCTGTAAAATCTTTGGGTGAGTTGACTTGAGGTTCGTATAATAAAACTTGCCTTTTGAGCTTTGGGAAAGCTACTAAAGACTATAAAGAACAAAGAGAAAACAATTAGCATCTATTAACAGCATTAAATATACTAAGATCAATTCTCCACCATGACCAATAGTGGTGAGAAAGAATTATAAGCACAAATTCAGAATTCAAACTTTTATTTGGTACCGCCATAAATTTAATGATGTAAGTGCATAATGAGAACAGAGAAATGAGGAGAAAAAATTTGGTTATGAGGAGGCAATAAATGTTTTCTTCACAATAAGTAAAGAAACTAGAGGGATTGGTCATACATGACCCACAGCAAATACCACTTGCCAGTTACAGAGCAGGTATTTCTCTTTAGGTAATAATTTATTTTGGAATTTTTAGGTCTATGGATTAGGAATAAAATGTAGTTATGAGTAGGAGGCTAATAAGTACATTTTACAAGCCCACAAAAAAAAAAAAAAAAACAAAACAAAACACCAAAAAACCAAAATTGTCCAATTCTTAGATTTTTGGTCATCATGAAATCTTCTAACACATTCTCATTAGGAAATCTCTTGTCACACTCCTCATAGGTAATATTTAATTACCAACTCAATCTTTCTCTCCTTTATTTTTGCCTTTCTCCATTTTAGTAACTTGTTTATTTTCTATTTCTTTTTTCCCCATAAATACTTCATTTGTGTATTTTTCTTGGTTAAAATTCATTTGAGTGTTATGAATTCATAAACTTATTACAAGCAATCAACACATTTTCTGCTATGCGATGGGATACAGTTTAAAAAAATAAAAAACAAACAAACCCATAAAGTCCTTCTAAGCTCAGCATCAGGAAGTTCAGTTGCAAGTTTTAGATTTTCAAAGCTGATTTTCTCTCTGGGTCTTTGGTTCCATGCAAACAACACAGCCAGCTGAAACGTCGTTACCTCCAAATCATACTGACCTACTTCATTCTTAAATGTTATCTACAATAGATAAATAAGAATCTTTTTATAATCATTACCACCTATGATAATATCTCTTATATGAAAAAGACTGGGAGTTGTCTTCCAATATCCATTCTTCAATTTCTTACATGGTATTATAATTTTTAGCACTCAATGACTGCCCAGAATAAAGACTTATCTCCCAACTTTCTCTGGAACAAATATAGCTATGTGACAAGTTCTGGCCAATAAGATATAAGTGGAAATCACAGGGGAAGCTTCTAGAAGTTGCTCTTAAATGAACTGTATACCCTCACCTTTCTGTTGTGCTTAAAGACAGTAGGATCATATTGAATTCTGTGGACAAAGGCAAATTCTTAAGGAAGGTGATATAACCAGAAGCCTATGTCCCTAACAAGTTCATGGAAGAGTACACTATTCCTGCTCAAACCTTCACATGTGAGAGAAGCAAATCCATCTTGTTTAAGTAACTCTTATTTGGACCTCTGCTATTTTCAACCAAACCAGTTTCTTAACTAACACATCTACTTACAATTCCATTTGACATGAGATGATGCCAATGTAATTTTCTACCACTATGATTTTTTTTATAGAATTCTTCTACTTCAGGTATCAAATCCTCCAGTTCAGTAGGAAGTGAGACAAAGACTTTCTCAGAACTTCTTGACCAGGCACCAGCATTTAAAATTTTTATGTTAACTGAATCAGCTATAGGCAAGGATAACAGAAAAATATAAAGTAAATCTTGTCAAGCAATAAAATTCAAAATAAACGAACATATACATACAAACAGAAGCTTTGGTAAAAAATTAACATGACGAAAGATTTTATTAAAAGTGTACTCATGCCCACCCGGTGTGGCTCAGTGGTTGAGCAGTGACCCATGCACCAAGAGGTCGCTGGTTTAATTCTCAGTCAGGGAACATGCCCAGGTTGTGGGCCTGATCCCCAGTGAGGGGCATGCAGAAGGCGGCCAATCGATGTTCTCTCTCATCCATGTTTCTATCTCTCCCCCCCTCTCACTTCCTCTCTCTAAAATCAATAAAGAAAAAAAGGTGTACTCATTTCCAAAATAAGGATTAGCAAAACTAAATTCTATTTTGCAGGATGTGTTCAAAGAATGTGGTCTTTATCTATTACTGCCAAAGTTTATTTTTAATTTACTGGAAAACAAAGATATTCTTTTTTTTAAAGTTAAAAAATATATATGTGTATATCATATACATACTCATAAAATAATACCTGGTAAAGCCAATTTGTTATTTTTGTGCATTTCTTTAAAAGCTTGGTTCAAATCTTCAGATACTTTTATGTCCTGAAACATTCTAGCAAGCTTGTTTACATAATCTGCTGGCATACCAACTTCCTATGAAAACCAAAGACAGAAGAGATAATACATAATATATAATCTGATAAGTTATTAAAAAAATTTTAAATGTAAAACTAAGATGCTTTAATACAAAGTCCTTCCTCTTATTTATTACAATGTTTATAGTCTAATACCTATTAAATTTGATCCTTAGAAATAGGATAGTACAGGTAATCTTGGCTTTCTTTGCACAAGTCCAATACACATGAATTGCAGTTACTACAGTATAGATAAATAACACCAGTCCTCCAACAACGCAGTTCAAGTTTCAGTTACTACTCTATGTTAAATATGAATAATGCATACCTACTCATAACTACTCAGGTTTTTTCCACAAAGAAATAAAACACTTTAACTCTGAAAATGTTTTAAATCAGTATACTAAATACATATTGATTTTGCTAATTTTTCCTACATATTTATAACACACAGTAAGAGTTTTACATGTTCTGACAAAAATTTCAGAAATCAGTCACAAAACAATATGTTTTCCCCATCGACTGTTTTAAGATCACTTTGCACAGTCTTAGTTTGCACAATAATTTTTACTATCTCACACTACAGGCTAGGGCTATCTGTATATCTGTAATTTGAAATATATATAAATAAAGACATCGTATATATAATTTTATTATTATATAGTAATATAATACAGTATATAATACTACATATATAAATGAAAAACACATTTTAATGTAGCTCTAATTCAATTAAAATGAACTAAAGGGATCAGACAAAATACTTTGATAGGGGAATTTAGTCACAATTAACAATGATTACCCTAAATAAGCCATCATCTTTTACCTATAAAACATCTCTATAGTTAAGTATTTAGTATGAAAACCACCTTAAAAATGAAATTATTTGTACTGTAGTCTATTTAATAAGGTCAGTTCAAATGAGTAAAGGTACTTCACTAAAAGTCTTTATTAAAAAAACTATACTTTGCCCTAGCCGGTATGGCTCAGTAGATAAGAGTGTCGGCTCAAGCACAGAAGGGTTATAAATTCAATCCCTGATCAAGGCCATGTACCTGGGTTGCAGGCTCGATCCCCTGTCCTGGTTGGGGTGAGAATGAGAGGCAACCAATCAATGTGTCTCTCTCGTATGGATGTTTCTCTTTGTCTCTCGCGCTTTCTGCCCCTCCCTCCCTTCCATTCTCTCTAAAGCTCAATGGAAAAAATATCCTCGAGTGAGGATTGATGAAAACAACAACAAAACTATACTTTATTAGATAGCACATTATTTTAAATACTTGATGCTATAAGCTTATAAAATATTCCCCATTTCTATGACATTAAAGATATTACCAAAATGTATTACTAACTCTACATATGAACTATGTACTATACTAAGAAAACCAAATATTTTTTAAAAATTTACTTACTCTTAGCCACTCTACCATATTCTCTTCAATTTCACTATCAGCAGAGATGTCCAATATAAGACGTCGTGTCAAATGAGCTTTGTGATATCTCATAAAAACATCTTTGTTTTGTACGTATTTGAGTACCAAGAGCTGTATAGAAAACAAAGTTACTGTTAATTCATATATGTGCTTAGCTATCTCTCTCATTTAGACCTTTCTATATCTCCCAATTGTCAAAATTCAGAAATTTACATAAGTATATACAGAGAGAGGCCTATTAAATGGTCAATCTCTGAAAAATAACCAGTCCTGATATAGTACTATACAAGTTAGCAAATTTGAGACAATAACCAAATAATCTTTTAATTTCTATAAATATCAATTTTTCAAACTTCATACAAATGTGATAAAACTTTACTTGAAAAGCAATGGTTCTTTCCAATTTTCTCTTTTGCATATCTTCTTTGCTTTTTTCAGACACTAATCTTTTCTCTAGGCTTTTCTGTCTAGACTCTCTCTATACCTTTACTTCTTATTATTTTCCTCTTTGCATTCCTGGGCCTACATTATATTACACTAGCAATCAGGGGGAAAAAAAAGAAGAAAACAACTAATTGATTATCTACACTCACTCATCCATAGTTACCTATTTTGGACTCACACAAAAAAAGTGAAAAAGTCCCCCTCTCTTAACAATTATTTCATCACCATCAGTACTATTTTCCTTTTATTTTTTTGACCTTTAATAGGTGCTAGAATTTAATGGCCTAAAAAGAATCAATAAAGGTGAAGAATTAAATGCTACTTCCTCTTCTGAAGCTATAGAATAAAATTTTTGAGGAAGAAAAAAACAATGCCCTATAGAGATCTTGCACTGTAAAATTTCACATTAGTAGCTTATAGACACACACTGTAAAAAAATTGATACTATCACAGAAAGTCTTCTAAGCAAAACACAAATTTCAAAGTAAGGTAATTAAAAGTTTTAAATTTTAAAAAAATTATGTACCACTTCTTTAAGCTTTGCTTCAATTTCTTCAGAGGTTAGTTTTTTGCTTAATGGTGTTTTTCTTAGTAACATGTCACAGTAATTGGCAAGCAGCTCAGGGCATTTTGATTCAGGCTGTGTTTTTAATCCTACCCTAAAAACAAATTAAAAGCAGTTATTAAAAAATGAGTGATACCTACAAATATTTTTCTAAAGCCAATTTTTCACAAATTTCTTGTGTTGTATTAATCCAGTGATCAGGGTTGGGATGAGGATGAGCAAAAAGACACCTCAGATGCACAATTTAAGGAAGCACTCACTCTTAGGTTCTCTGAGAGTGAGACCTTAAATATTATATCCTAGGTGCCTCCTTGCTTTACTCTAATGGTGGCCTTGCCAATGATCTTTAAAAGATTTTATTTAGTACTGGCTGGTGTGGCTCAGTGGTTAAGAGTGTCGGCCTGCATGCTGAAGGGTCATGGGTATGATTCTTAGTCAAGGGCATGTACCTGGGTTGCAGGTTCAATGCCTGGTCCCACATGTGGGAGACCAGCAATTGATGTGTCTCTTTCACATCAATGTCTCTCTCTCCCTGCCTCCTTCCACCTTTTCTCTCTCTTTAAAAAGCGATGAAAAAAAAAATCCTTGATTGAGGATTAATAAAAAGATTTTATTTATACACTTGCTAAAATATTTTTGAATTAAAAATTTAAATACATTTATTGGGATGACATTGGTTAATAAAATTATGTTTTAAATGTACAATTCTATAATACACTACTTGTACATTGCATTGCATAAATCTGTGCATATTTATACGTTAACATTTAAAACTTTTCATTACTAATGTTAACATAAAACTGTTCCTTCACTCTCTGAAACGTTTCTAATGTAACCTAAATTCCACAGTGATGTGGTATCTACTATCATCCATTTTAAAAAATTACAAACAGTTCTGGCCAGTGTGGTTCAGTTGGTTAAGCATCATCCTATGCACCAAGGTGGCCGGTTTGATTCCTGGTCAAGGCACATGCTGGGATTGTGGGCTCGATCCCCAGTATAAGGTGTGCAGGAGGCACCTGATCGATATTTCTCTCTCATTGATGTTTCTCTCTTTCTCCCTTCCTCTCTCTAAAATCAATAAAAACATATTTTTAAAAAACGCAAACTTTTCTTAAACAATGAAGAACTTATACCTGTCTTTTTCAACAAAGTTTTAAAACCAATATATTGTATCTTTATGTTTGAAAGTTTTGCGTTTCTTCATCCTACTTTTAAAAATTATATATGTACATTCAACCCTGGCCGGTTTGGCTCAGCGGCCGGAGCGTTGGCCTGTGGACCAGAGTTCCGGATTCGGTTCCCCTCCTGCTAGGGGCACATACACCCCCCCCCCCAAAAAGTCAATAAAACATGCCCTGGCTGGTTTGGCTCAGCGGTTAGAGAGTTGGCCTGCAGTACAAAGAGACCCGGGTTCAGTTCCTGCTAAGGCATGTACCTCAGTTGCAGTTTGTCCCCGGCCCTGATTGGGTCATGCGGGAGGCAGCCACTCAATGTGTCCCTTTCACGTCGATGTTTCTCTCTCTCCCTCCTACTCTATCTGAACAAAAAATGGAAGGGTGTCCTCGGGTGAGGATAAAAAAATAAATAAAAATAAATAAATAAAATAAAAATGTTTATTAAAAAAATAAAATTATATATGTACATTCAAAATTTAAAAAGTTCTTGTGTATACAAAAATCAAGTGTTATTTTACCAGAATTGAGTTATCTAAATTATTATAAGTACACAACTTACCAAAACAACAAAATTATAGTGTATGTGTATAAAACATGAATATGAAAAAATTTGTGTCAACTTTTTTTTTTGGTTAATCCTCACCTGAGAATATTTTTCTGTTGATTTCTAGATAGAATGGAAGGGAGGGGGAGAGAGAGAGAGGAAAAAAAAACACATTGATGTGAGAGAGACCCATCGATTGGTTACCTCCTGCACGACCCCAACCAGGGCAGGAGATGGAATCCAGGTACATGCCCTTGATGGGGAACTAAACCTGAGACCCTATGGTTCATGAGCCAATGCCCTAACTGCTGAGCCAAACCAGCCAGTGCTCAACTTTTAATGAGGTAGATGAAACTTTTTTCCCTTCCAATTATAAATCCAAGAATCACAATTTTATTTCTACTTTCTTTTTTATTGAATAAAAAAAAAAATTTTTAAGGGAGAGGGAGAGAAAGGAACACTGATTGGTTGCCTCCTGCATACCCCCTACTAGGGATCGAGCCCACAACCAGGGCATGTGACCTGACCGGGAATAGAACAGGTAACCTTCTCGTGCACAGGATGATACCCAACCGAGCCACATTGGCCAGGGCTCTACTTTTTTTATGTCTTTGCTCTGAAAAATCTTATTCACATAAGTAAGTAGAACTGGAAGAAGTTTTTCTTATGATGTTACTTAATTCGTTGAGCACCTCCTGACTTACTTGCTAAAAAAAAATACTGATGATCTAACAACAGTTATTTTACATAATGCATCAAATTAGCCATCAATTGTGTTGAAAGCAAAGAACTGGAAAACATCTGACTTGCAAAAGAATCTGATACTTGGTCATTAGAAATTAACTTCTGTACACCAATGCACCAATGTTTCAAAATACTCCTTTCTTATGCAACTTGGAGGCTTGTTATATTGGAGGCTTTTTATATTCTGACACAACATACATAGTAAGAATCAAGGGAGGTATGCCTTTCTTTGCAAAGTAAGAGTAATTGGAAAAAGGAGAAACGAGGAGAATTGCAATGATATTTCCATCAGATGGCTCAATTTTAGAAAAGAATAGATGTGGAAGTTGAGGATTTAGAAATTCATTTCCTTAAAAGTATCCACACTGGCATACTCTAGGAAAAATCTTTCTATAAGTCTCAAGATGCCAGTCTGAAGATCACTAACTTACTTCACAAGAATCTATCCACCTCTTCCAATCTATTCACAGTGCCAATGCCTCGCTCCTGCATGCACTACTATAATAACCGCAGTGGTCTAACTCCCTTCCTCCAATTCAGCCTGTTGAGAAGATAGCTGTAGTTTTTTCACTGTTTCTTTGAAGGCAGTATGTCATTTTACCCCTCTGGCTGTTCTAGTTTTTCTTACAGTTTTCAGTTTTTACTATGATGTATCCAGAAATGGTTCAATTTGTATTTACCCTACTTGGGATTAAAGAGATGCTTGAATATAAGAGTTAGTTTCTTTATCAGTTTCAGAAAATTTTGGTCAATAGTCCTTCAATTATTGCTTATGCTTCCCTTTTTGTTTGCTATGATTCCAATTACATATTGTTAGATATTTTATCTTTTCTAAGGTAACAATTTCTACCTATTTGTCCATTAGTATTAATACTTGTTATCTATTTAAGATTATTATTGAGATATGTTCACATCCTACAATTCACCCACATAAAATGTCCAATTCAGTGTCTTTTAAGTATATTCACAGAACCATCATCATCATAACATTTTTTAACATGTTCATTACTCCAAAATGAAACTCCATACTCATTAGCTGTTAAATCCCAGTTTCCACCTATCACTTCCTCACAGCCCCTGACTACAACTTACCTACTTTCTGTTTTTGTGGATTTCTTTATCCTGGACATCTCATATGGATGAATTCATACAATATATGGCTTTTTGTGAATGATGTTTTACTCAGAATAATGTTTTTAAGATTGATCCATATTATAGTATGTGTCAGTAGTTCATTCCTTTCTAAATATGTTTATCTTTTTATTGTGTAAAACATATTAAACATTTTAACCATTTTTAGGTGTACAAGTCTGTGGCATTAAGGACATTAAAAAATTTCCTGCAAATATCACAACTATGTCCAGAACTTTTTCATTATCCCAACAGAAACCCTACACCCATTAAACAAAAACTTCTCACTCCTCTCCCCACCAGTCCTTGATAAGTCTATGCTCCTTTTTCTATTCATGAATTTGACTATTCTAGATAACTCCTGTTAAGTGGAATCATACAAAATGTGTCCTTTTGTGTCTAGCTTATTTTACTGAGCATAATATTCTCAAGGTTTCATTCACATTGTAGCATATATCAGAATTTCATTCCTTTTTATGGGCGAATATATTTCATTGCATCAGATGCACCATATTTAGCTTATCTATTCATCAGATATTAGACATCTGGGTTATTTCTATTTTTGGTTATTAAGAATAATAATGCTGTTTGGAGAGGTGTCTATTTAGCTCCTCTGCCCATTTTTTAAATTGGCTTTTTTGTCTTCCTTTTGGCCAAGAGACATATGAAGAAATGCTCAACATTACTAATCATTAGAGAGATGCAAATTAAAACAACAATGAGGTATCACCTCACGCCTGTCAGAATGGCCACCATTAACAAATCATCAAACAACAAGTGTTGGTGAGGGTGTGGAGAAATGGGGACTCTAGTACACTGCTGGTGGGAATGCAGACTGGTGCAGCCACTATGGAAAACAATATGGTGTTATCTCAAAAAATTAAAAATTGAACTGCCATTTGACCCAGTGATCCCGCTTCTAGGAATATACCCTAAGAAGCCTGAAACACCAATCAGAAAGAATATATGTACCCCCATGTTCATAGCAGCACTATTTACAATAGCTAAGATCTGGAAACAGCCCAAGTGTCCATCGGTAGACAAATGGATAAAAAAGCGGTGGTACATATACGCAATGAAGTACTATGCAGCTGTAAGAAAGAAAGATCTCTTATCCTTTGAGACTACATGGAGGGACCTGGACAGTATTATCCTAAGCGAAACAAGCCAAGCAGAGAAAGACAAATATCACATAATCTCACTTATCTGTGGAATATAATGAACATAACAGCCTGAGGAACAGGGTAGACCCAGAGATGTGGAAATAGGGTACAGACTGACAACCCTCAGAAGAGGGATTGTGGGGGAGGGAAGAGATAAACCACAGAACTTATATGCATGTACACATAACCAATGGACACGGACAACAAAGCTGGGGATGGGGTGGGGGGTTGGGGAGGAGGGTGTCACTGGGGAAAAAAAGAAGAAACATCTGTAACAAAAATTAATTAATTAAAAAAATGCAAAAAAAAAAAAAGAATAATACTGCTGCCTGGC